TTAAGGTCGATCAAGTTTTGTGCCCCGTTCCGCTGGTGGCCCTCCACGGCTGGAATATCCTGTTGAGTTCCCCCTCGGCCAACCGACTTTCGACAATATCCAAGCCATCTGTATCAATGGAGACCATCGTCCCCGCTACCCAGACTCGTACTTTCCTGTCAGTGGTTATGGGAAGTTGAAGCGAATGGCCAGTTCTGTCAACGAGTTAGAGTACCGCTTAAATGCATGCTGCGGGAGCAACCACACGTGGGGGACAGAGGTGACGCTGTGTTGCGCCTCAATGATGGTGAGTCACCTACAGCCAATTCAGCTATTTCTTCAACTCAGTATAAAAGTGACATTATAGGATATTCTGCATCTTTTAACTTTAATTGTGCTACAATTTTTGTACTCCACCTTGTTGACAATGTTTTTGCATTATCTTGTCATTAGACTCAAGATATTAGGATCAACCGAAGCTTGATCCCAATTCGTGTTAATTTATAATTAAAAAAACAAGATCATTTTAATGTTATCCACTTAATACTTTATGTGGAGGAATGCTCTCATAAATATGATCTTAATTGCCAACTTCAGTAACTTTATATTTATATTACCTTAGTTCCTGAAGCTTTGTTTTATCATTTCTATAGTGTATAGTACTCCAAACACATTTGTGTGCGTGTTTTTGTTCTACCCTGGACATAAAAAGGGCAAAACACATTCTTCACATTACTGAGATGATGGTACTTGCTTTTTGGAACAAAGATAAAGGCCTTTGGTGTTTTCAGCTGGTAAGCCCATTATATGCAGCCCAGCCTGGCATAACAGACAGGCCTTGGCATGAGAACCAGAGGATCGGTCTGAAGACCAAGCCACAAACATGCCTCCAATTCTTTAGTGAACAAAGCCTTTTCTTAATCTTTTCGCCTAATATTTGTTTTTGAGATTTGTGTAATTGTGTCTTAAAAGATACTCTATATATTGCAGCTGGCCCATTCACTTAAAATACAGTCGCATGCAGACTTCATGTCACTATTAAAAGACGAATGCATACTGTTTAGAGTCGGCGAGGTCCTGATAATTTATTCCGGTAAATTACTCTGACCTACTAATTGACCTGACCGAAGTTATTGAGTCTATGTAAGTTTACTGCTTGGCTCAGATCCACCAACGTCAGCAAGATCTCACCTCTATTAACTCCCCGAAGAACCAGGTTCAATTAACTGCTGTTTCTATTCAGACAACTCTTTTTTAATCTGTTTAAGGGATCCCGAAGGATTTTGATATCAGTAAATGGAGTGTGTTCCTACCTAAGTGTGTGTGGCAGGGTGCAGTCTTACCTTTGAAGCAGGAGAGGAGAGCACAGATTTTCTTTTAGTTGTCCCAATCCAACAGGTGAGATCAGTTTATTTGAAGAAAAAGAGGTCCAAACTAATACAGGGTTTTTACCTTTTAACACATTATAATCATACGCAACATATCATGCTGGGGTTATATTTTTATCTAAAACCTTAATTCATATTTCTCATCTATCCAAGATCTAAATAAAGCTATTAGTTCTAAGATTCCTGTACGTACTAATAACGCATTCCAGGTAGATCTAAATAAAGCTATTAGTTCTAAGATTCCTGTATGTACTAATAACGCCTTCCAGGTAGATCTAAATAGAGCTATTAGTTCTAAGATTCCTGTACGTACTAATAACGCCTTCCAGGTAGATCTAAATAGAGCTATTAGTTCTAAGATTCCTGTACGTACTAATAACGCCTTCCAGGTAGATCTAAATAGAGCTATTAGTTCTAAGATTCCTGTACGTACTAATAACGCCTTCCAGATAGATCTAAATAGAGCTATTAGTTCTGAGATCCTGCACGTACTAATAACGCCTTCCAGGTAGATCTAAATAGAGCTATTAGTTCTAAGATTCCTGTACGTACTAATAACGCCTTCCAGGTAGATCTAAATAGAGCTATTAGTTCTAAGATTCCTGTACGTACTAATAACGCCTTCCAGGTAGATCTAAATAGAGCTATTAGTTCTAAGATTCCTGTACGTACTAATAACGCCTTCCAGGTAGATCTAAATAGAGCTATTAGTTCTGAGATCCTGCACGTACTAATAACGCCTTCCAGGTAGATCTAAATAGAGCTATTAGTTCTGAGATCCTGCATGTACTAATAACGCATTCCAGGTAACCTTACCGAGAGCCATATACCCAGCTCTGAGGGCCAGAGCCTACCGGGAGAGAGTATACCAGGGGTTTCCCCCTCTCTCTCGCGCTCTCTCAAAAAACCAGTCTCTTTATGCTCAAAAAACCGGATCGAAACCCCAAAAAAACACCTCCTCTATTCCCAACCAACATCTTCTATTGGCTATGGCATAAGACACACCTTCCCATGTTTGTGTAAAAAAAAACAACATGACCAGACATATTCTATGGCTATGACATAACCATCTTTTTGAGGACTCAATGTGTTTCTCCTTAAGTCAGGAGCCCCGCTCCCTGTGAACTGCTGTCAGAGGAGAGTGAAAAAACTGCCTACTCTCTTATCAGAGAGTAAGGCATAAATCCTTATAGGTCTTACACTCAACTTAACAAACCACTTGTGTTTTGTTTATGCTGTAAATATAGAAAAACCTAAAATATGAAGCATTTTCATTATGGGTTATACAAGAATATAATTGATTATATTTGATTATAACTAACTTTCGTTTTAAGTATTCAACATACTATAAAGCTCTCAACAATACATACTGACTGTCTGTGGTTTTGTTCCAACTACAGTGGAAGTACGCAATCAATTCCTACTGTGAGGAGGACGCAAGCATAAAGGATCGTCAATCTGAATGCTGCAAGCCGATGGGCAGCGACAGGCTAAACTGCTTCCATAACGAAGCTCTGAACCCAAACTACACGGCGACACAGGAGCTGCCGGTGCCACAGATTCCCTCCACTGAAACCTTTAACTTTAACCCCACGGATTGTATGAATTGAATTTGATAAAATAACCACCAGTAAACAGTTGATTTTGAATGTTAACAAGTTAAACCTTCTTAAACATCATTTATGCTCCTATGCATAGGATCAAATCAGAAATCAGTTTCAGCTTTTACAATGTTGTGAAAACATTTCTCAATATTTTCTAAATAATCTATATCCCATGAAAAGACACACATTTGGACACATTTCTGTCTATTAAACTATTTAAATAACTTTTATTAAATAGGCTTTTCATACGCCAAAACACATCAAATTGTTTTATAATAGGCCTACTATGAGGAAGGATTTTACTGCGCTGGAAAGTTATGTTTATGGCAATCATTTTACATTGTACACTTGCCGGTATAGTTCATTGACCAATGCAGGGCTTTGTCCGAGAATGCTTCATTGTTTTCAGAAAACACCACAGCATTTCAGAAAACACAACAGCATTTCAGAAAACACAACAGCATTTCAGAAAACACCACGGCATTTCACATTGGACGGAAAGGGTATTCCCTTAAGCCCCTGTCACACTGTCCCGAAGTTGACACCCGATGGACACACGAATATGGAATTGTGAATTTCGCACGAAGATGGCGCCGAACCACACACGAAGGCAACATTTACATTACATTTAAGACATACAACTGCAACGAAAGTAACAAAAACAATTATGTTACAGTACTATGATACTGTACTGATATCTTCAGACTTTGTTCTTTACTTTATATGTAGAAAATATTACGTTTTCTCCGTATGTTGTTTCCATAGAAACAACAACTTCCTGTCAACTCTCCTTCAAAATAATATATTATATCCTTTTCAGTTTCACAGAACACAAATTGGGTTATTTACATAATATGTTTACATGATTTTGTTGTGCAATAAAACAACCAGATGGACACACGATAAAGGAAATGTTCAAATTCGGCTCTGATCGTAGCAACATCGGGCTATTCGTGATGGCATCTTAAGCCATTTTATGACCGCCGGCGGAGTTTCTCAGGCTCCGGCAGTGTGTGCTAACAGCTAACAGCTGATGTGTTGGGCCAATCACGAAGCGTCATTTCTTGACTGTTAGCAAAAACAACCAATCACAGCAGTGCTTCTATGGCTGGCTCTGTCCATTCACAAACAAGAAGTGTTCTCCCTAAGGAATACCCTTTCAGTCCAATGTGAAATGCTGTGGTGTTTTCTGCAATGCTGTAGAGTTTTCTGAAATGCTGTGGCGTTTTGTGAAATGCTGCGGCGTTTTGTGAAATGCTGTGGCGTTTTGTGAAATGCTGCGGCGTTTTGTGAAATGCTGTGGCGTTTTGTGAAATGCTGTGGCGTTTTCTGAAATGCTGTTGTGTTTTGTGAAATGCTGTGGTGTCTTGCACTTCAGGGTCACCGTAGTAAGGTCACAATAACCCTGGACTAAAACTCTGTGTGAGTGAGAAAGAAGAGTTTAAGGCCTTTGATATCTCTCTCTCAAAAAGCAAACAATGACTCAAAAACAGGGTTTGGTGGGATGGACAAAATACAGCCCTAGCTATACATTATTAAATGCTTTTAAATCGTATCCTTTATTCATCCTGTTGAATATTTTGACATTCGCAAAATAAATATGGATTTTATGTCTAAAGTTTGAGGTGGAAGATTGTAATTGTTACAACATGAAAAGCCTGTGTTACAATCATTAGGTGTAGAGTTTAAAAGACATACATTTTTGAATTGTGGAAAATGTAGGCTCCTGTTTTTTTTCTTCCGTGGCCTTTGTTGGGGAAATATTTTACAAGGCCCATAACTTTGACCCATGTCATACTGTCCTGACTGAGCACACACACACCTGTAACCTTGGCTGATGTGCTCTCAGTGTTTTGTCTCCCTGTTCCTGCCTGTTGGCGTCAGCTGATAGAGGTGTTATGATTCTATCTTGTTATGCACAATGTTGATTATTCTCTCTGGACTAAATACATGGGTCTTGGCCGGGTCTAGTTCTTCAGAATTGACGTGGCAACTCTGCCGTGAAGTCACCTCTGATTCTTTGACTTGTTTTGTGAATTCTCTGGCCGAAGCTCCAAATAAACCCATCAGCGTTTGCCATCAAAGCTCCAGCTCTCCCCGTGTCTCCTTTGAGTCTGTGACTCCTCCTGCATTGCTACACAGAAGTTCCCCCCGCAGCCTTTACTTGAATTATTATTTAAGGATTTGAGGCTTTGATTATGATAATTATATTTTTTAATCTTACTGTGCAATTCAAAAATGCCAACACACCCTTTAAGGTATCACACTCAGACAGAGAATGGTGATCTATATAAAAGTACATTGTAGGGAGTACTTTTATACTTTTATGACCTACAATCATTGAATATTTATGATATTTCTATAAAATAAATAAATAATATAAAATATTAGAATTAGTTCATTCATTGTCAATAGTCTGAGGATAATTAGCTGGGCCTTATGGCAGGGCAATACGTCTTACACATTGGCTAACAGCCAGTGTTAATAAAAAAAAAATCATTAACACAGTGCTCATCAGAGTTTGGAGAAGTACTTAAAATAAAAGTACCAGAGTGTAGGAATAGTCTGTTAAAAGTAAGTCCTGGTCCTGCAATCAAAATGAAAAAGCAAATAAGTATTAGCATCAAAATATACTTAACGTAGTAGCCTACTAAAAAGTACTCATGCTGATTGGCCCATTTCAGAAGAATATATTACATGTTTTTATTATAATAATGCATTGATGTGTTCATCAAAGCTGCAGCTATATTAAATAAATGTATACTGCAGGGTATGTGAATTTACTCTAGGTGTAATTAAAGTCTGATTTAAGAGTTGATTACATTTCACATCATTAATCCAAACCTGCAAAGTAACTAAAGTTATTAAATAAATGTAGTGGAGTAGCTACACTATTTACCTCTACATCGTAGTTGGGTAGACGTACAAACTAGCAACAAATACTCAAGTTAAGTAGGCCTCCAAATTAGTTCATGTGTTACTACACATCCCGTCCAACAAGACGTACCCATGATTTGAACGGAGCACCTGAGTCATGTTGTAAAAACGTCCTTCCCTCCCTCTTTTCTTCCTCACCCCGTCTCACCCCTGAAACCCCACAACTATAATGGAGAGGCGAAGTCACGCCCATCTACTTCCGGACCATGGGACCCCGGAAGCGAAACATTTACATTGAATTCAATGGAGAGAGAACACGTATCTTTTGATCCCGTTTGAATTGTGCCACGAACTACACATATGATGTTTGTCAATCTTAAACAATCATTTCCATGTCAAAAAAGTCACATTTTGTCGTAAAACTGCTGAAATATAAGACTATGAAAAATACGCTACTACAAAGACTACAAATCCCAAATCCCATTCTGGGTCGCGTAAGTGATGTCACAGGCATGCTCGGTGATTTATAATAAGACTCGTAATTAAAGCGAAGAAGAAGAAGATCTCATAACTGATTTATTCCCTCCAATAAATTATAGATCGCTAAAAATAAATTCACTTTTACAAGATGCCTGTGTGCTTTGTACCAGGTTGTAGTCATAAAAGTGATCATACCACTTGCTCCTTCTATCGATTCCCGTCTGATGAAAGGACCAGGAGTCGCTGGATCAGACATATCAGGTAATATCATAGGTAATATACATGTTGTGCATGGAACATAGTCAAGTTAGCTACCTAGCTAGTAGCGACGAGTAGCGAGCACGTTAGTTAGCATTACATTACTTAGCCTTGTCATTTTTAGTAGCCTTACCATGAAGTTATTATTTTATTACATGAAGTAAACCAAAATGTTAAACAGTAACCAAACATGATGGTAAGTATTTCGTGAAACTTTTGAAGAGTAGCCTGCCTGCGCCCTCCACCGGGTGCTAAGGAAGCAGTTCAGGGAGAGTCGAAGGCAGGCATGGAGCTTTGCATGTCATTCTTCTGGACGTGTTTCATTGTGATGACAATCTGTTTGTTGGAAAGACAGTCGTTGTGTGCTTATTGAGAGAAAATTGTTAGAAGAGATAATTATTCAAAGTGTTGTTACTTTAAAGTGTTGTTACTGACCTTTTTCTCTTTTATTTTCATTACCTCACCTGTAACTGCTGAGACGTTGAGGAACATGCACACTGACCTGCTCTGGCAACCTGATTTCCACTGTACGTAATAGTATTTGGTTATGGTATATTATTTATATATATCAAAGGCACATTGCACCCCCCAGAGACACACATGTATTGAGTGTGATATTTTGCATAGGTCATGTGAAATCATCTTTACATACTAGAAAACTGTAGGAGCGGCAACTTGTTTTGAAATTGAATTTTTAATATCCGATAATAAAGTTGATCCGTTTTCTTTATTCTTCTCTCTTCCCAGCTCCATCACCGTTCTCTGTTCCTGCAGGTCCTGCAGGTCCTGCTTGCTAATCAATGCTCATATTTTTTGACACAATTACAAATAAAGTCATTGTATTGTATGACATGAAGTTGTGCTTCATTCGGAGTCAATAATAAATTCATTCTGCCTTCAACTGCGCAATGATTGTGGACTGCACCGACATCCATGTAGCTGCCCCCCAGTAAGATGAACCAAGCAAAGAGGGTCCCCATCATGCCCAAGGACATCCAGCTGTCCCGCCGCATCCGCGGAGAGAGGGCTTAGACTGACCTGAGACCAGCACACCCAAACACAACAGCTCTTTTAAGAGCCACCTACAGTTTCAAAGAGTTGCAATCCTACGTTATTATAATGATTAAACTGGTTCATGTATCACTTAGTTTACTGAACCGTGATGAATGAAAGAAATTAGTGAGGTAGTGGTTTACTGAAGTTACAAAGACATTAATATATGAGTAACAGGTCAGTGTAAACACAAGCTTCTGTCAATTATGGATCATTCAAACTATTTATATAAAAATATGTAATAAAGTTCTAAAACAAGTATTCGGTATATTCCTTGATAGCTTTTGGAGAAGGTTGTTTTTAAGTTTACTAAAATCTATCGTTTCAACTGTTTCACTTTATAAAAAGGGAACAGGTGAGTAGAGCATCATTGAGTTTCTTATTCTGTCAGTAAATTATCCAAATGAATGTTTTTCATTATTTTAGTCAACCCTAAACAAATTGATTGTACCTTTTAATGATGACCTTACATGGTCGGCAAAGTTAAATTAACTTCAGAAAATTAAATCTGTTCTGAGAAAAAACTAATAAATGTTTAAAGATAGGAACTTGCCATCCCACTGAAAAACAGTCCGTAGAGATTTAAAGGCGTAGTTGTAGTTCAGTCCAACGTTTCATTTGGATTCATTTGACAACAGTCAACTATTTTCATAAAGAATATATATATTTTTCAAAGTCAACTTTATTGTCAATCTTACTCAGTTTGAGATCAAAAAGACGTTTAAATACAATTATACAATTTACAGATATGTATACAAATATATATATCCTATATACACCATCATGTATAATGATGGTGTATGATGTAGAAGGAAGTGTGGTAGATAACAAGTAAATATAGAGTTACATACAGATCCATGTTACAGCAAAAGATGGAATAACTAAGAAGCACGCAGTATAATAATAATTACATGCAACAATTAAATAACTGCTCAGCATCTCCACCACAATCCCAATCTGCTGTGTCCTGTTTTCCTCCCCTCTGCATAACACCCCATCACACATACGAAACACAACGCAGAGTCCGAGGGTGTTAAGAGTATGTTTATTGAAATGTCCTCCTCTCTACTGGCCAACACAGGGAGCATATGCTGGGTGTAGAATTGTTCCAGGAGGAGGAGATTTCCATGCCATGCAGGGTCTTTGGGGATGGGGATGATGATCGCCTCCTTCGTGGTCCACACAACAAAGTAGCAGAGACTCCGGTCTGTGATGTGCAGCTGCCCTTGGACCTGGTGCCAGTATGGGTGATTCTCCTTGAGAATATATGACCCACCCTCCTCACGGAGACAGAAGGATGGTAACTGGACTGCCTCCGTGATGGTCATGTTCCTCTGGCTGTGTGGACACTTCACCTCCAGCAGGGCAGATGGCTGCACAAGTCCATCGGGTGATGCTCCCAGAACACCCGACTCACTCACAAAGAGACCAGACTCGATTCGAACACTGTCACTTGATAGGCCTCCACAAAAGCCTTCACCCCTTCGGCCTCGTTTACAACCCCCCAGTTGACAGTTGGCGATGTCTCTGGCCAGTGGGTTGTATGTCTCCTCTCGCTGATGGTAAAGTTGAGACACCGGCTGGACTACTTTGGAAGTGCCAGGCTTCCTCCACTGGCACTCAACATCTGTGGAGCTGATCTGCCACATGGCAAATATTGCCAATGCTGCAGCGTGGCTGCATTTGTACATCTCCTGTGCACAATCACAGACAGCGCTCTGCATCGCGCCATCGTCTCCCATGCAGATCTGTAAAAATAAAGTAAGTACCATTTGTTAGCATGCTATAATAGATTGAATGAGCAATAATACAAGGATGGTCCGGATCTGGGGGTGGGAGGGTTTATTTTTCCATAGTTTTGTCCTCTTGTCTGTTGTTATTGTTTGTTTTTCTGTATTTTTTGTAATTTGTGTTGTATTGGTTGTGATTGTACATTGTATTTTTCTAAATGTGTATGAATACGTTTTTGAAAAACATTTGATCAACAATAAAAAAGGATTTGGTCAGGATCTAGACTCAGTGTGTAGTTTATTAATTAATCAATGCTCTCTACATTAGGAAAACACATACCGGTGTACCAGAGGGAGTCACACACAGCTGTGACTAGATAACCAAAATCCTTGAATCGACACACAGCAAATAAACTCAAATGACACAACGAGAAAAAGGAGATCACACATACAGTATAGTCGATATAAAACTGGCCGCTTCAATCTGAAGAGCAACTAAAACAAAACACGGGAGTGTACCTTGTTCTTGTGAACACTAATGTTATCCACAGCATACACAGAGACCACGAAGTTCTTAAGGAGAAAACTAGTTGCTAAAACAAAACACGTTAGTGTACCTTGTTAGCTAATGTTAGCTAGCTGACATTAACGTTACACATTGCACTCATATTACTCACCGAAACCTTGTAAAGCCGGTCCCGCATGCTGGCTCTTACAGAACCGACTAACTCCCCTTTCATATAGGTACAGCTCTCAACGTGCCCAGACTTGTAGTGATTTTCACCTCGTAAAATACTTTTATTCTCATTCTGAAAGAATGTGGTGAAATGTGCTAACGTGACGGCCATCTTTATGTTGGTGACGCGTATTGTGCGAGACGAGAGACCTGTAGTTCACTGAGCGGTTTCACACGAAAAAATGTGTAACTTCACAGTTTTACGACACATTTTTATTTTTTTGACTTGCAAAATGTTCTTTTAAATTGACAAACATCATATGTGTCATTCGTGGCACAATTCAAACGGGATCAAAAGATAACCTTTCTCTCTCCATTGACTTCAATGTATAATTTTCCGCTTCCGGGGTCCCATGGAGGCTTTCGGAAGGGGAGGGACTTCGCCACCAGGGCTGCACATAACTGGTGCGCAGGTGCGCATTGCGCCAAAAAATAGCACCGGGTCATTTGAAACAAAGCGCATTTGCGTACCAACATTGAGAAGGAGAGAGAGAAGAGAAAATAGAGGAGAGGAGAGATGAGAGAAAGAGAAGAGAGAGAGAGAGAGAGAGAAATATATTTGCGAGTTGCATATGAACCATGATATGAACTCATATCGTAGCACTGGCTAGATGTTCGCCTAGGGCGCCAGATCTGGGGAGTCGCTGCACTGGCAGTTCTGGGAGGGAAAAAAACATTTTGACCGTTGGGGCTCATCCTAATTTTCGGCCTTGATGTAACAATATTCACAATTAAGTAAATGTAACACCCTTTTCACCCCGGTTCCACCTTTCATTTGCCCTGTACGATGGGCGCTGTAAGTGATGAAAATGGGGGATGTTGGCTTATCTGGCGCCCGCAGCTCACAGACAAAATGCGAGTGAGCGAGGGAGAGAGGGAGGGTGGTACCAGCGCTGTTGTTATTATAATCTGGTGCCGTGCTAGCTGCTCTAACGGAGATAAGAAGAAGATGTTTCTACAATAATGTGGAGGGAGAGTCCTCTCCAGTCAGACTGAGAGGCTGATAAGTTAACTACAGCTCAGTGAGGTAAAGGACTCTTAGTCTAAATTCAAACGGTTTGGTCACAATTTATGTAAACACATATTTCCAAGGCACTCCTTTGTAATTATTGGGATAAACAGGTTTTAAATCATTCCAATGTATACTATAGGACAGTAAGCAAAAATATCCTTTAAAACTGGAGACAAAAAACAAATGCATAAATAAATAAATGTTAAGGTAAAATAAGATATTAATGACCAACACAAATAAAACAAGTTACATTAATTTGTTATTGGCTATGGTAGGCTATTGGTTATGTTCACATACTTATTTGATTACATCCACTTGTCTACGATGACAACAGAGACTTTCGACCCAAAACTAGCTGTTGACTTGTGGATGCAAGCAGCTAATCGCAGACTCAACCAGAGAGAAAGAAGTAGGCCTACATCATCAGCTACCATGTCTGACAGAGAGGAAGACAGTGAGGAGAACAGTCAGGAGGGTAGTGATGCTTGTAGGATTACTGGTCGTGCTAATGTTGTCTTGTGTTGTGTTCACCTCTGCATGTGTGTTCTGTGTTCACCTCTGCATGTGTGTTCTGTGTTCACCTCTGCATGTGTGTTCAGTGCCGTGTGTCTGGCAAATAAAGACCCCCTCAAAAGTTACGGTTTATTTCATTTTAAGGATGAGCACCAAGCAACATCTCCAGGTGCTCCTTTGAGAACCAGGGCAAAAAAGTTATGTGCACCCCTGACTATAACATCTGTTTGCACGGTTGCGCGTTTACGGTCTGACAGACAGCAGGGCCGTCTCTGTTCAACCAATTACTGGCCGGTGTTTGTGTGTGTGTGTGTGTGTGTCTCTGGGCGGCCTCTCTCTCTGCGCGAGGACAGACAAACAGTATCTGCGGGACAAACCGTTCACGACACTATACTCTGCGCCATGGGGTCTCCTGCGGCTCGAGCCTGCTGCACAGCATTGGTCTTGGTGTTACTGAGCTCAGCATCCGAGGGTTGGTAGCCTACTGTTATTTTCCTTCTTCTTCTTCTTCTTCTTCTTCTTCTTCTTCTTCTTCTTCTTCTTCTTCTTCTTCTTCTTCTTCTTCTTCTTCTTCTTCTTCTTCTTCTTCTTCTTCTTCTTCTTCTTCTTCTTCTTCTTCTTCTTCTTCTTCTTCTTCTTCTTCTTCTTCTTCTTCTTCTTCTTCTTCTTGTTGTTTTCATGATAGAAGTTGCTTCTTGACTCCATTTTTGTTCGTCGAAACTGCTCTGCCTTCATTTCGCAGACCAGCTGACATTAATCCTCCTGTCGCAATAAGGACTTGTATATCACAGTAGCCTACACGCAGAGTTGGGAAAAGTACTCAGACCTTGTAGGCTACTTGAGTGAAAGTACCAGTATGTAGGAATACTCGGTTACTAGTCAAAGTCCTTCAATCAAACATATTATTAAAGTAAAATAATGCAAACGTTTTAGCATAAAAATATACTTAAAGTACCAAAAGTAAAATAAGCCATTATGCAGATTGGTCCATTTCAGAATAATATTGTATGTTTTGATAATTATTTATGCATTAAAGTGTTATAAAAGCTTGTAAAGGTGCAGCTATAGTTTTAATGACTGTGCATACTGCAGGGTAGTTTGTGAATTTACTCCAGGTGTAACTAAAGTCTAATTTAAGTGTTGATTATATTTCACATCATTAATCCAAATCTGTAAAGTATAACTCCTATTAAATACATGTAGTGGAGTAAAAGTACACCATTTAACTCTGAGTTTTAGTGGAGTATAAGTACAAAGTAGCATACAATGCAAATACTCAAGTAAAGTACAAGTACCTACAAATTGTACTTAAGTACAGTACTTGAGTAAATGTACTTACTTCCCACCAGTAAAACTTAGTCCAAGCACTTTAGTGCAACTTGAATATTATAAATGGTAAATCTTCTTTATTGAGTGTCAATATTAAATGATGAGTCACTGACTAAATAAAGTGTTGTAATTAACATTACTCATCACATTGATTGAGTACATTTCTCTGATGTTACAAAAGTTTACTTTAGTAACATTTGAAAGACTTGAAAGACCATTGAATATAATGGTCACCACTGGTTCTCAGTATAATTTGTGCAATAACGGTTGCATAACTTTTAATGGCTTTCTGCCTCTTTCTCTTTCCCTCTTTCTCTTCGTTGTGTTTACAATTTCCAGAAGGGAAAGCCGTCGAGCAACGCGAGGTCACCTTCGACATTGACGAATTCATGCAAGGTGCGAGTTCACAATACTAGTGCAGTATCTAATCAAAATAATCTTAGATGTTCAGAGCGGGATTTTAAAACATAAATCATATACCACATCATTATTTCTGTCCCCCTGGTGCCCTAATATGGGTTGACACTGGCAAATATATATATTTTGTAAATCCTTGTTTTAAAATCGTGTTGTCTTTCAGAAATGCAACTACCCCATTCCGCAAATACCTGGAAGGTCCAGGAGCTAGGCTTGACAGCTAGAGGAGGTTCGTATTTATTTTCCTCCCTTAACTTTTAATTGAATTCACCTGTCGCTGTATTTGTATCAAATAACAGTATAATTCCTGTCTTTTCCTCTAAGGTCGACCAAGTTTTCGGCCCCGTTCCGCTGGTGGCCCTCCACGGCTGGAATATCCTGTTGAGTTCCCCCTCGGCCAACCGACTTTCGACAATATCCAAGCCATCTGTATCAATGGAGACCATCGTCCCCGCTACCCAGACTCGTACTTTCCTGTCAGTGGTTATGGGAAGTTGAAGCGAATGGCCAGTTCTGTCAACGAGTTAGAGTACCTCTTAAATGCATGCTGCGGGAGCAACCACACGTGGGGGACAGAGGTGACGCTGTGTTGCGCCTCAATGGCGGTGAGTCACCTACAGCCAATTCAGCTATTTCTTCAACTCAGTATAAAAGTGACATTATAGGATATCCTGCATCTTTTAACTTTAATTGTGCTACAATTTTTGTACTCCACCTTGTTGATAATGTTTTTGCATTATCTTGTCATTAGACTCAAGATATTGGGATCAACCGAAGCTTGATCCCAATTCGTGTTAATTTATAATTATAAAACAAGATCATTTTAATGTTATCCACTTAATACTTTATGTGGAGGAATGCTCTCATAAATATGATCTTAATTGCCAACTTCAGTAACTTTATATTTATATTACCTTAGTTCCTGAAGCTTTGTTTGATCATTTCTATAGCGTATAGTACTCCAAACACATTTTTGTGCGTGTTTTTGTTCTACCCTGGACATAAAAAGGGCAAAACACATTCTTCACATTGCTGAGATGATGGTACTTGCTTTTGGGAACAAAGATAAAGGCCGTGGGTGTTTTCAGCTGGTAAGCCCATTATATGCAGCCCAGCCTGGCATAACAGACAGGCCTTGGCATGAGAACCAGAGGATCGGTCTGAAGGCCAAGCAACAAACATGCCTCCAATTCTTTAGTGAAAAAAGCCTTTTCTTAATCTTTTCGCCTAATATTTGTTTTTGAGATTTGTGTAATTGTATCTTAAAAGATACTCTATATATTGCAGCTGGCCCATTCACTTAAAATACAGTCGCATGCAGACTTCATGTCACTATTAAAAGACGAATGCATACTGTTTAGAGTCGGCGAGGTCCTGATAATTTATTCCGGTAAATTACTCTGACCTACTAATTGACCTGACCGAAGTTATTGAGTCTATGTAAGTTTACTGCTTGGCTCAGATCCACCAACGTCAGCAAGATCTCACCTCTATTAACTCCCCGAAGAACCAGGTTCAATTAACTGCTGTTTCTATTCAGACAACTCTTTTTTAATCTGTTTAAGGGATCCCGAAGGATTTTGATATCAGTAAATGGAGTGTGTTCCTACCTAAGTGTGTGTGGCAGGGTGCAGTCTTACCTTTGAAGCAGGAGAGGAGAGCACAGATTTTCTTTTAGTTGTCCCAATCCAACAGGTGAGATCAGTTTATTTGAAGAAAAATAGGTCCAAACTAATACAGGGTTTTTACCTTTTAACACATTATAATCATACGCAACATATCATGCTGGGGTTATATTTTTATCTAAAACCTTAATTCATATTTCTCATCTATCCAAGATCTAAATAAAGCTATTAGTTCTAAGATTCCTGTACGTACTAATAACGCATTCCAGGTAGATCTAAATAGAGCTATTAGTTCTAAGATTCCTGTACGTACTAATAACGCCTTCCAGGTAGATCTAAATAGAGCTATTAGTTCTAAGATTCCTGTACGTACTAATAACGCCTTCCAGGTAGATCTAAATAGAGCTATTAGTTCTAAGATTCCTGTACGTACTAATAACGCCTTCCAGGTAGATCTAAATAGAGCTATTAGTTCTGAGATCCTGCACGTACTAATAACGCCTTCCAGGTAGATCTAAATAGAGCTATTAGTTCTAAGATTCCTGTACGTACTAATAACGCCTTCCAGGTAGATCTAAATAGAGCTATTAGTTCTAAGATTCCTGTACGTACTAATAACGCCTTCCAGGTAGATCTAAATAGATCTATTAGTTCTGAGATCCTGCACGTACTAATAACGCATTCCAGATAACCTTACCGAGAGCCATTTACCCAGCTCTGAGGGCCAGAGCCTACCGGGAGAGAGTATACCAGGGGTTTCCCCCTCTCTCTCGCGCTCTCTCAAAAAACCAGTCTCTTTATGCTAAAAAAAACGGATCGAAACCCCAAAAAAACACCTCCTCTATTCCCAACCAACATCTTCTATTGGCTATGGCATAAGACACACCTTCCCATGTTTGTGTAAAAAAAAACAACATGACCAGACATATTCTATGGCTATGACATAACAACCTTTTTGAGGCCTCAATGTGTTTCTCCTTAAGTCAGGAGCCCCCCTCCCTGTGAACTGCTGTCAGAGGAGAGGGAAAAAACTGCCTACTCTCTTATCAGAGAGTAAGGCATAAATCCTTATAGGTCTTACATTCAACTTAACAAACCACTTGTGTTTTGTTTATGCTGTAAATATAGAAAAACCTAAAATATGAAGCATTTTCATTGTGGGTTATACAAGAATATAATTGATTATATTTGATTATAACTAACTTTCGTTTTAAGTATTCAACATACTATAAAGCTCTCAACAATACATACTGACTGTCTGTGGTTTTGTTCCAACTACAGTGGAAGTTCGCAATCAATTCCTACTGTGAGGAGGACGCAAGCATAAAGGATCGTCAATCTGAATGCTGCAAGCCGATGGGCAGCGACAGGCTAAACTGCTTCCATAACGAAGCTCCGAACCCAAACTACAAGGCGACACAGGAGCTGCCGGTGCCACAGATTCCCTCCACTGAAACCTTTGACTTTAACCCCACGGATTGTATGAATTGAATTTGATAAAATAACCACCAGTAAACAGTTGATTTTGAATGTTAACAAGTTAAACCTTCTTAAACATCATTTATGCTCCTATGCATAGGATCAAATCAGAAATCAGTTTCAGCTTTTACAATGTTGTGAAAACATTTCTCAATATTTTCTAAATAATTTATATCCCATGAAAAGACACACATTTGGACACATTTCTGTCTATTAAACTATTTAAATAACTTTTATTAAATAGGCTTTTCATACGCCAAAACACATCAAATTGTTTTATAATAGGCCTACTATGAGGAAGGATTTTACTGCTCTGGAAAGTTATGTTTACGGCAATCATTTTACATTGTACACTTGCCGGTATAGTTCATTGACCAATGCAGGGCTTTGTCCGAGAATGCTTCATTGTTTTCAGAAAACACCACAGCATTTCAGAAAACACAACAGCATTTCAGAAAACACCACAGCATTTCACATTGGACGGAAAGGGTATTCCCTTAAGCCCCTGTCACACTGTCCCGAAGTTGACACCCGATGGACACACGAATATGGAATTCTGAATTTCGCACGAAGATGGCGCCGAACCACACACGAAGGCAACATTTACATTACATTTAAGACATACAACTGCAACGAAAGTAACAAAAACAATTATGTTACAGTACTATGATACTGTACTCATATCTTCAGACTTTGTTCTTTACTTTATATGTAGAAAATATTACGTTTTCTCCGTATGTTGTTTCCATAGAAACAACAACTTCCTGTCAACTCTCCTTCAAAATAATATATTATATCCTTTTCAGTTTCACAGAACACAAATTGGGTTATTTACATAATATGTTTACATGATTTTGTTGTGCAATAAAACAACCAGATGGACACACGATAAAGGAAATGTTCAAATTCGGCTCTGATCGTAGCAACATCGGGCTATTCGTGAAGGCATCTTAAGCCATTTTATGACCGCCGGCGGAGTTTCTCAGGCTCCGGCAGCAACTTCGTGAGCGGTGGGAAAATCTTTGGCATGCCAAAAAATTGCAGAAGGACCTTGCGAAGGTTAATTTTCGTGTTGAATTCGTGTGTCAATTTTGCCCTTCGTAAGGCCATCGTGAGGGCATGTTGTTATCATCGGTGCCATCGGGCATTCGCCCCGATCAGAGTGAGGGCGAATGCCCGATGGCACCGATGATAACACGAAGATGACACGATTCGACAAGATGCCCTCACGCCTTACGAAGTTGCCGCTCACAAAGTTGCTGCCGGAGCCAGAGAAACTCCACCGACGGTCATACGATGGCTTAAGATGCCCTCACGAATGGCGTAATGTTGTTACGATCAGAGCCGAATTTGAACATTTCCTTTATCGTGTGTCCATCGGGTGTCAATTTCAGGACAGTGTGACAGGGGCTTTAGGGAGAACACTTCTTGTTTGTGATTGGACAGAGCCAGCCAGAGAAGCACTCTGTGATTGGTTGTTTTTGCTGCCAGTCAAGAAATTACGCTTCGTGATTGGTCAACACCCGACAGCAAAATATGTCCCAACCAGAGCCCTAGAGATACTAATCTACTATAAATACTAAGAGATACTTATCTCTCTAGGGCTCTGGTCCCAACCAAGCGGCAAACTCTGGGGAAGAGCCGGGACGCTAATACGGAAGTGTCTCAAACTGCAGTTATATGTTTAACTTTTGTCCAGTTTCTGAACAGATATGAGTAGCTGTGAGCTCTGAGTGTGTGCTAACAGCTAACAGCTGATGTGTTGGGCCAATCACGAAGCGTCATTTCTTGACTGGCAGCAAAAACAACCAATCACAGCAGTGCTTCTATGGCTGGCTCTGTCCATTCACAAACAAGAAGTGTTCTCCCTAAGGAATACCCTTTCCGTCCAATGTGAAATGCTGTGGTGTTTTCTGCAATGCTGTAGCGTTTTCTGAAATGCTGTGGCGTTTTGTGAAATGCTGCGGCGTTTTGTGAAATGCTGTGGCGTTTTCTGAAATGCTGTGGCGTTTTCTGAAATGCTGTTGTGTTTTGTGAAATGCTGTGGTGTCTTGCACTTCAGGGCCACCGTAGTAAGGTCACAATAACCCTGGACTCAAACTCTGTGTGAGTGAGAAAGAAGAGTTTAAGGCCTTTGATATATCTCTCTCAAAAAGCAAACAATGACTCAAAAACAGGGTTTGGTGGGATGGACAAAATACAGCCCTAGCTATACATTATTAAATGCTTTTAAATTGTATCCTTTATTCATCCTGTTGAATATTTTGACATTCGCAAAATAAATATGGATTTTATGTCTAAAGTTTGAGGTGGAAGATTGTAATTGTTACAACATGAAAAGCCTGTGTTACAATCATTAGGTGTAGAGTTTAAAAGACATACATTTTTGAATTGTGGAAAATGTAGGCTCCTGTTTTTTTTTCTTCCGTGGCCTTTGTTGGGGAAATATTTTACAAGGCCCATAACTTTGACCCATGTCATACTGTCCTGACACACACCTGTAACCTTGGCTGATGTGCTCTCAGTGTTTTGTCTCCCTGTTCCTGCCTGTTGGCGTCAGCTGATAGAGGTGTTATGATTCTATCTTGTTATGCACAATGTTGATTATACTCTCTGGACTAAATACATGGGTCTTGGCCGGGTCTAGTTCTTCAGAATTGACGTGGCAACTCTGCCATGAAGTCACCTCTGACTCTTTGACTTGTTTTGTGAATTCTCTGGCCGAAGCTCCAAATAAACCCATCAGCGTTTGCCATCAAAGCTCCAGCTCTCCCCGTGTCTCCTTTGAGTCTGTGACTCCTCCTGCATTGCTACACAGAAGTTCCCCCCGCAGCCTTTACTTGAATTATTATTTAAGGATTTGAGGCTTTGATTATGATAATTATATTTTTTAATCTTACTGTGCAATTCAAAAATGCCAACACACCCTTTAAGGTATCGCACTCAGACAGAGAATGGTGATCTATATAAAAGTACATTGTAGGGAGTACTTTTATACTTTTATGACCTACAATCATTGAATATTTATGATATTTCTATAAAATAAATAAATAATATAAAATATTAGAATTAGTTCATTCATTGTCAATAGTCTGAGGATAATTAGCTGGGCCTTATGGCAGGGCAATACGTCTTACACATTGGCTAACAGCCAGTGTTAAAAAAAAAAAAATCATTAACACAGTGCTCATCAGAGTTTGGAGAAGTACTTAAAATAAAAGTACCAGAGTGTAGGAATAGTCTGTTAAAAGTAAGTCCTGGTCCTACAATCAAAATGAAAAAGCAAATAAGTATTAGCATCAAAATATACTTAACGTAGTAGCCTACTAAAAAGTACTCATCATGCTGATTGGCCCATTTCAGAAGAATATATTACATGTTTTTATTATAATAATGCATTGATGTGTTCATCAAAGCTGCAGCTATATTAAATAAATGTATACTGCAGGGTATGTGAATTTACTCTAGGTGTAATTAAAGTCTGATTTAAGAGTTGATTACATTTCACATCATTAATCCAAACCTGCAAAGTAACTAAAGTTATTAAATAAATGTAGTGGAGTAGCTACACTATTGACCTCTACATCGTAGTTGGGTAGACATACAAAGTAGCAACAAATACTCAAGTTAAGTAGGCCTCCAAATTAGTTCATGTTACTACACATCCCGTCCAACAAGACGTACCCATGATTTGAACGGAGCACCTATGAGTCATGTTGTAAACACTTCCTTCCCTCCCTCTTTTCTTCCTCACCCCGTCTCGCCCCCCTGAAACCCCACAACTATAACATCTGTTTGCACGGTTGCGCGTTTACGGTCTGACAGACAGCAGGGCAGTCTCTGTTCCACCAATTACCGGCCGGTGTGTGTGTGTCTCTGGGCGGCCTCTCTCTCTGCGCGAGGACAGACAAACAGTATCTGCGGGACAAACCGTTCACGACACTATACTCTGCGCCATGGGGTCTCCTGCGGCTCGAGCCTGCTGCACAGCATTGGTCTTGGTGTTACTGAGCTCAGCATCCGAGGGTTGGTAGCCTACTGTTATGTTCCCTCTTCTTCTTCTTCTTCTTCTTCTTCTTCTTCTTCTTCTTCTTCTTCTTCTTCTTCTTCTTCTTCTTCTTCTTCTTCTTCTTCTTCTTCTTCTTCTTCTTCTTCTTCTTCTTCTTCTTCTTCTTCTTCTTCTTCTTCTTCTTCTTCTTGTTGTTGTTGTTGTTGTTGTTGTTGTTGTTGTTGTTGTTGTTGTTGTTGTTGTTGTTTTCATGATAGAAGTTGCTTCTTGACTCCATTTTTGTTCGTCGAAACTGCTCTGCCTTCATTTCGCAGACCAGCTGACATTAATCCTCCTGTCGCAATAAGGACTTGTATATCACAGTAGCCTACACGCAGAGTTGGGAAAAGTACTCAGACCTTGTACTTGAGTGAAAGTACCAGTGTGTAGGAATACTCGGTTACTAGTCAAAGTCCTTCAATCAAACATATTATTAAAGTAAAATAATGCAAACGTTTTAGCATAAAAATATACTTAAAGTACCAAAAGTAAAATAAGCCATTATGCAGATTGGTCCATTTCAGAATAATATTGTATGTTTTGATAATTATTGATGCATTAAAGTGTTATAAAAGCTTGTAAAGGTGCAGCTATAGTTTTAATGACTGTGCATACTGCAGGGTAGTTTGTGAATTTACTCCAGGTGTAACTAAAGTCTAATTTAAGTGTTGATTATATTTCACATCATTAATCCAAATCTGTAAAGTATAACTCCTATTAAATAAATGTAGTGGAGTAAAAGTACACCATTTAACTCTGAGTTTTAGTGGAGTATAAGTACAAAGTAGCATACAATGGAAATACTCAAGTAAAGTACAAGTACCTAAAAATTGTACTTAAGTACAGTACTTGAGTAAATGTACTTACTTCCCACCAGTAAAACTTAGTCCAAGCACTTTAGTGCAACTTGAATATTATAAATGGTAAATCTTCTTTATTCAGTGTCAATATTAAATAATGAGTCACTGACTAAATAAAGTGTTGTAATTAACATTACTCATCACATTGTCAATGATTGAGTACATTTCTCTGATGTTACAAAAGTTTACTTTAGTAACATTTGAAAGACTTGAAAGACCATTGAATATAATGGTCACCACTGGTTCTCAGTATAATTTGTGCAATAACGGTTGCATAACTTTTAATGGCTTTCTGCCTCTTTCTCTTTCCCTCTTTTCTCTTCGTTGTGTTTACAATTTCCAGAAGGGAAAGCCGTCGAGCAACGCGAGGTCACCTTCGACATTGACGAATTCATGCAAGGTGCGAGTTCACAATACTAGTGCAGTATCTAATCAAAAATAATCTTAGATGTTCAGAGCGGGATTTTAAAACATAAATCATATACCACATCATTATTTCTGTCCCCCTGGTGCCCTAATATGGGTTGACACTGGCAAATATATATATTTTGTAAATCCTTGTTTTAAAATCGTGTTGTCTTTCAGAAATGCAACTACCCCATTCCGCAAATACCTGGAAGGTCCAGGAGCTAGGCTTGACAGCTAGAGGAGGTTCGTATTTATTTTCCTCCCTTAACTTTTAATTGAATTCCCCTGTCGCTGTATTTGTATCAAATAACAGTATAATTCCTGTCTTTTCCTCTAAGGTCGACCAAGTTTTCGGCCCCGTTCCGCTGGTGGCCCTCCACGGCTGGAATATCCTGTTGAGTTCCCCCTCGGCCAACCGACTTTCGACAATATCCAAGCCATCTGTATCAATGGAGACCATCGTCCCCGTTACCCAGACTCGTACTTTCCTGTCAGTGGTTATGGGAAGTTGAAGCGAATGGCCAGTTCTGTCAACGAGTTAGAGTACCTCTTAAATGCATGCTGCGGGAGCAACCACACGTGGGGGATAGAGGTGACGCTGTGTTGCGCCTCAATGGCGGTGAGTCACTTACAGCCAATTCAGCTATTTCTTCAACTCAGTATAAAAGTGACATTATAGGATATCCTGCATCTTTTAACTTTAATTGTGCTACAATTTTTGTACTCCACCTTGTTGACAATGTTTTTGCATTATCTTGTCATTAGACTCAAGATATTGGGATCAACCGAAGCTTGATCCCAATTCGTGTTAATTTATAATTAAAAAAACAAGATCATTTTAATGTTATCCACTTAATACTTTATGTGGAGGAATGCTCTCATAAATATGATCTTAATTGCCAACTTCAGTAACTTTATATTTATATTACCTTAGTTCCTGAAGCTTTGTTTGATCATTTCTATAGCGTATAGTACTCCAAACACATTTGTGTGCGTGTTTTTGTTCTACCCTGGACATAAAAAGGGCAAAACACATTCTTCACATTGCTGAGATGATGGTACTTGCTTTTGGGAACAAAGATAAAGGCCTTGGGTGTTTTCAGCTGGTAAGCCCATTATATGCAGCCCAGCCTGGCATAACAGACAGGCCTTGGCATGAGAACCAGAGGATCGGTCTGAAGGCCAAGCAACAAACATGCCTCCAATTCTTTAGTGAACAAAGCCTTTTCTTAATCTTTTCGCCTAATATTTGTTTTTGAGATTTGTGTAATTGTGTCTTAAAAGATACTCTATATATTGCAGCTGGCCCATTCACTTAAAATACAGTCCATGCAGACTTCATGTCACTATTAAAAGACGAATGCATACATACTGACTGTTTTTTTGTTTATGCTGTAAATATAGAAAAACCTAAAATATGAAGCATTTTCATTGTGGGTTATACAAGAATATAATTGATTATATTTGATTATAACTAACTTTCGTTTTAAGTATTCAACATACTATAAAGCTCTCAACAATACATACTGACTGTCTGTGGTTTTGTTCCAACTACAGTGGAAGTTCGCAATCAATTCCTACTGTGAGGAGGACGCAAGCATAAAGGATCGTCAATCTGAATGCTGCAAGCCGAGGGGCAGCGACAGGCTAAACTGCTTCCATAACGAAGCTCCGAACCCAAACTACACGGCGACACAGGAGCTGCCGGTGCCACAGATTCCCTCCACTGAAACCTTTGACTTTACCCCCACGGATTGTCCGCGGTATGAATTGAATTTGATAAAATAACCACCAGTAAACAGTTGATTTTGAATGTTAACAAGTTAAACCTTCTTAAACATCATTTATGCTCCTATGCATAGGATCAAATCAGAAATCAGTTTCAGCTTTTACAATGTTGTGAAAACATTTCTCAATATTTTCTAAATAATTTATATCCCATGAAAAGACACACATTTGGACACATTTCTGTCTATTAAACTATTTAAATAACTTTTTTTAAATAGGCTTTTCATATGCCAAAACACATCAAATTGTTTTATAATAGGCCTACTATGAGGAAGGATTTTACTGCTCTGGAAAGTTATGTTTACGGCAATCATTTTACATTGTACACTTGCCGGTATAGTTCATTGACCAATGCAGGGCTTTGTCCGAGAATGCTTCATTGTGATCTAGCAGTTGAGCTAGGTTTTATTGTTTTTGCTGAACAACCCTCTGTCTATTTAGCCTGAGCCATCTGTATAAAACCCAAGCTGCATCAGTGGACTGGTCCCATTCTTATGAATGACAGGGTGGCTATTTTACTACAAGGCTTAACTCACTCTGAAAGCAGTTTTGTTTGAGTCTTTTTATGGAATTTCAATACAAATTAATTGTTACATTGCAAAACACACTTAGTTTGGATAAATAGATCCTAGAGGTACAGTAGAAGGAGGTCAGGTTTCACTCTGACCATGTGCCTCATACTTTACAGGAAAATACAGAGTCCGTACGTTCCCAGAGCACAAACAAATGTTATACAATCTCCTAAAAAAGACTTCAACTTTCCTCCCGGACGACCCTCTGCTGACAACATTGAATCACTGTGTCGCGACCAGAAGCTACGCCCCCTCTACAAAGTCAATTGCCTTCGAAATTCAGGCTATGAATTGATGTCCCATCAGGCAAAGACCATTAATCGTGTAGAGAAGGGATTCAAACAGTGCTGCAAAAAGAAGCAGGGTGTGCTCGAGTGTGCTGACCAGAAGGTAAACCAAAAAACATAAATATTTTCCTTAATTTAGTAATGTTCCTGCCTTCTCATGACCTTTCTCTATTTGTGTTTAAGTGGCGTGAGGAGCTTAGCAAGTTTTGCTTGAACAAGAACGGTGAACCAGTGGATTTCGAGTGTTGTTTTGACAACGTGGAAGATAGCCGATACACCTGTTTCAAAAACCTTTCTCCTGACCCATATTATAATCTGACCTCCGCTGCTAAAGAGCTCTCCCTTCACAACATCTGTGACACTCACAAGATCATCACGAAGAAGTAAGAACATACTTCCTACATCTGGCCTTGGATCTGTTATTATCTTTGTCTTCTTTATCATCCTCTTTCATGGTGCTTTTTTTTTGTGGCAATGGTAGTTCCTTTCTTTCCGTTTCTTTTGATGCTTTTGGTCATTTCTTGTCAAAGAAAATACATTTGTACCAAGCAGCCTCATATGCTAAAATATATTTTATGTTGAAATGTGATAATACCACCTATCTACAGTATGTTTTGGTGTGTCTGCATTATGTACAGAAACAAAGTAATAGCTTCATTGTGTTTTAGGTTCCCTGTTGGTTTTCCTCTCAAGAGCTTTGTGAACCAATGCTGCCCCCTGTCTGAAGAAGAGAGGGTCCTTTGTTTTGCGCAGGAGGTGAGTCAAACAAGGAAGGGTGTCAGTACAACATCTAGCAAAAAAAAAATCAGATGACAAAGCCTGAGCAGTGAAAATGTAAATGAAACATTTGAAAACAAAAGTTTAGGAGCTATTAAACAAGATGTCAGATTTTCAATTGGCTTTTTCTCTTTTGTCTGATCTTGTACTCTCCATCAAAACAGCTCATCGCAGTATCAAAGCAATGTTGGAATTCTCCTCCATCTCTCCGTCACTGTTGCAGCATGTCTTCACACGAGCGGCCGCAGTGTATCTCCAAAATTATTGTGAATGCCATCACCAAAGCCTCCAGTGAAAAGAAAAAGTGCCCTCTCCCCTATATACTCTGATGACCTTTGGCTGCTGATCCTATGGCACTGGGCCATTCAGGGAAATATCAAGCTAGCAGCAGAGATGACCTCTGATCATAAACAGGAAATATTTCAGGTCTGTAAGGGAATGTGGACCACATTATAGCTTCTGCCAGTTTTCTTTTCATCTTTTTATCTGAGATCAAATTAGAAGCTTTGTTATCACAAGAATACATTTAAAAAGAAACATACAACAGTGTTTAATTCTTGTTTTACTGTACAACTATTTTCTATGGCTACGCTTTACATATTTGATTATGGATGCATTTTATTGATTGATTTGGAACTGCAAAATCAGTTATCATCCTTGTTTTGTGTGTAGAGATCATATCTACAACAGTTATAATAAAAACGTATTGAAATATACCATTTGTGTTGTCTACTGTCTTCTTACATGCAAGGTTAGGTTGTGTGAGTCCTTCGTCTTGCCTTACTTGTAAATGTCTGCCTGGCTACACTAGATTTAAATTGGCAGTAATGACAACACTTGTCAATTTAATAGTTTGAACTGCTGTTCACCTGTTACAAACCCCTGTAAAAGTAATCTAGTTATGTTTAGTTCAATTATATTTTACTTTGTCACTAATGACACACACAAACATAAGAGAAGTACTTGCAAAGACTTCAGATATAAAGAAACAAACATTAAATAACATGTGACTCAAAGAAGGTGTTGAGGCATGATAAACACAAAATCAGCCCTTTATGAATGTAAAAATATTTCAACAACATTGCACATATTTAGTTAATTTGGAAACTATGTCTGATATACTCTCAGCAGTTGAATTATACTAAAGTACCAAGAGTAAAAGTAGCTACTCATTATGAAGATGACCCATTTGGCCCATTTCAGAATATGTTTTGGTGATAATTATTGAGGTATTGATCAAGCTAGGTAGATATTGTTTAAACTAATTGTGAATTTAAACCAGGTAGCCTATGTCTAAAGTATTGAGTATTAATCCTATTGTTTAACATTTATCTCGAATAGCAAAGTAACTAAAGGTAGGCCTACTGCATAAATGTAGTGGAGTACAATATTTACCTCTGAATTGTATAGTGGAATAGAAGTAGCATAAATGGAAATACTCGAGTAAAGTACCTCAAAATTGCTGTCAAGTACAGTACTTGAGAGTAAATGTACTTAGTTAGTGAACCCCAAGGTTATTCTAAACTTTTAAACTTGAGGTACATGAATATGAAGTAGAGTAAAAGTGAAAGTGAAGCGGTTCCTCTTCGGTCTGCTGGCGGCGCTGTGGCGCAGCTGCGAGCCGAGCATCAGAGCCCTCTGTCGGCTCTACAGTCTGGGATGAGAACAGGCAGACCGTAATGGCGACTGCTGGGACGGCAGACTCGGGATCAACAGCCCCGACAGGTATCTAGTGTATAAATACTTCTCCTTTTGTCGTCTTCAAACGAACATAAAAACATAACCGTGTGTCATTTTATAGCGATATTAACCGTGGGACTCGGGGACTGTGGCTTTCTCACGTCCCGGTTAGCCACTTAGCCAGTTAGCATCGAGGCTCTCACCCTAACAAATGAAACAAGCAATGTGTAGCCTGTTAAACTGCCTTGTAGATAAACCCCAGTCTGGTGCTAATAAGCTTTAACCAGCGAGCGGACAGTATTTATATAGAATTGTCTATTAGGATGCATTAAAAAATAATTCCCTGGACCACGTTGGCTCAAGCGTTGGCTCAAGTGGTCTGTTTTGTTATCAAGCCGGTGATTTGTTAACGCTGTTTGAATGCTAATGAGTTAGCTGGAAGCAGGAGGATAATTGCAAGGTTTATTACATTTATTTTGTAAATGTGTGAGAAGCTGCTGTTTGAATAGGGTCTGTCCATCCATGGGAAACTACCCTGTTATAGCCCGTTACACCCCTCCCTTTCCTCTGTCTGTCCGGGTCTGTGATACAGATAATTGATCCCAAATTGGGAAATCCTTTTGTTATAGCAGCAGTATGTTCAGGCATTCAAATATACAAATATTCAAAAGGTGGATTAAACTACAAACATGATACAATAAACAGCAAATATTAACATATCTACAGTAGAAAATACATTTATCACAAATGATACACAATATAACATTTCTGGATACATTTAAATGTTCTATAAAAGGCCAACAATACTGCAGCAACAGAAATATAGATGTTTACTACAGGAGCAGAGTAGCAACAGATCCATTTGTCATTTAGTTCACTCAACACCAGCCCCCTGTCAGTTAGCGTTAGTGTCCAAAGATTCACAGTGATATATTATGGAAAAAAATATTGATCTTATTGATTTCCTACAAGTTTGTCATGCTAACCCAGATAATGAACAGTCATGTCCCTGTAGTGTATGACATGTTTGTCCACCTCTCTTGATTTCAGATTTTTGTATGATGAATCGGTCATGAATTGGTCTTTTTCAGTGACCACAAAGAAACAGATGGGTCTTATTCTCTAGACAGGACAGATGATGGGGAGGTTGCTAATCCATTTAGTTTAGTGTGTCACTTATTAGCTTTCCTGTCTAGAGAGGAGTTGCTTTTGCTGTGGTAACCACCCAGTCTGAATCAGTGAATACAAATAGTGCCTTCAAATTGCTCTTGTGGCTCCCACATGGCTGAGAGCATAGACATTCACAAATACAAGACACAGCAATCTGTGAAATACACACTCGCAGACATTTGAGTGACAGTAACATAATGTAATATCCAGTGCAGGAGCCTTGATTTGCCTTGTTTCCTCATCAGGGCAAGATCCTGTAGATTCATGTTGCTATGATAAGAAGACAATTATGTTAGAAAACTGTGCGTGTCCCATATTATTGCTTTGTGTATGCTGCGGGCTACATGTGAACAAGGCTGGCAGGGAGTTGTTTAGTATACAGAGAGGAACAGATGGTTTGCCTATTGTCGTAAGGCCTGTAACTGAAGAGCTAAAGTCATTCTTAAGTAATTGGGTTGAGTTGGGGTGGGTAATTACTAGCCTGAATGCTCAGTGTCGGTTTTTATCAGTGTCTGACTGCAACTAAAATGTATTTTCATTAATGTAATGATTATAATCTAGTTTAATTGTTTCTTTGGTATATCAAAAAACAAACATGTGTTAAATGTCCATCACAGTTTTGAAAAAGGCCAACTGGTTTATATAAAGAGCCCATTCTGTTAAATATAAGGTAATGCAGGAAAATGTAGGGCATGTTCATATTTTAGAGGCTGAAAACAGTACTTCTTTTTACATATAAAGGTACTTTTACAATGAATTTGTTATAAAAGAGTTGGTTATTATGTTTCTATTGATCTACTAATTGATTACTGCAGTGTGTGTTATTACCAGGGCCAGTTTCATATGAACTATTGAAAACATTGCAATGTGATCAAGTTAGGATAGTTGATGGTTATGTATATTCCTAATACATTTTGCTGCTAATTATTCTAAATGAATGAATCAATAAGATATTCTGTGTATAAGATGGGTGGGAAATAATTAAAATACTCATTATGATTTTCCAACTATCAGTCCAATACCCAAATATATTACTTATCAAATTGAAGACAAATAAAACCAGAAGGTTTCGGGCACTAATATTCGTATTAAATTGAGTAATCATTCCAGCTTTACATGGTACATTTCCTCGTACCTAAACACAGTCAGTACATGTGTTGTTCAGTGCAGCTCCTTTTCTGGGTTAAGCTGTTAAGGCTGCCTCTGTCCTGCTCCACAGATATTAGGACTCAGTTCTGGAGGAGAGCATTTCAGCGAGGTACTCGCGGCATGGGTGTGCGTGATCAGAAACTGCACGAGTAGTGATGAAGAGTTGGGAATGTGTGCAGAATGATGCTCATTGTTTCCCGGTGGATTGCAGTGTGTCCCTCCTTGTTAACTGAGAGACGTGCATGGCATTCAGTGAGTCTGCCTTATTATTAACACACCCACCTTTCCTGGCTTGTAGTGTCCACTTACTGTGCATCTCCTGGATTGATGCTGGGCGTAGATGCATTTTCACACACAGGAAAGGTTGTTTAATCTACCCAACATCCTCTGTATATATTGACCTGTGGCACTGCAGCATTGAAGTACATGTTGCCATTGGTTACAGGCTAGAGGTGCTTGCAGAGTGGGTGAGAAGTAGGTTTAAACGGCAAGTTTACGTAAGGACATAGGAAATCATGTATTTCTTTGTTTCTACTGGGCATATCTTACAAAACTGATATGTGCTGTGATTGTTACCATGCCTACCCAGGAGGATAGGTTTATTTGTTTGGGGCATGTTTTTAATTTGATTTCCTATCTTTGGTAATCAAACCCTTACATTTTGCTTCTTGATGTCTATAACTCTCAATATGTGTGTACTGTACCTTAAAGACACTAATCCTCTGCTAATGCTTATCAGTACGCTCAATTCAACAAACAATAGTTACGACGGCATTAATCAAAATAAGAAATGCAAAGTTAAAGTCAGAAGCAAAGTAGGCTGTTGCAGAAAGAGCTAGGAATGGCAGATGTTTTGAAAGGAGGCTGTGACTGTAGATATACCTCTTCAGGGAGCAGATGAATCTGGAGCAGCCAGCTCAGGGGAGGAGTAGTTCCAGTTAACATAGAGCGGAGGTATCGAGAACTGCTGCCACATTTAGGCCTGGGCTCATCATTGGCCTCAATTAGCCAGCAGAGGGTTTCTTAAAACATTCTTTAACAAACTCTTTTTAAAAAGGTGCCAACTCAACCTTTGACAATTATTTCACGCATCACATTTACGCTGACCATTGTGGTTGGCATTTACAAGAGTTTCGATAAAGAGATAGTTAGCAACCTTCAAGAAAAGCAACTCCAATGTTCTGCACTTTAAAATAAAATGTAAGGAGTCTGAGTTTGAAGAAAGCATAGATAACTGCTTCAGTTCACTGTCGGAAAGGACTGTAGGGGTAATGTGAAGAGGTATAAAAGAGCATCAAATAAAAAGGTGGCAGGTTTGCTTCTTCCCGTGTCCACAGCAGTACAGTGCTTTGCTTGTGTGCGTCATTCTGATTCTCCAAACTGGGGGCGTGCAAACCTCCATTTACTCTAGATGATAAACTGAGTATGGACTGAGTATTTCATACAACCCCACAAAACAACCTAACTTTCCCTTTAGGTTGAGTCTAAACAAGGGGACGAGCCGCCCCTAAAGGTTTTACTGCGTTTTCACATTTTGTTCTCAAGTGTTTGTGTCTTTGTCCCATTGTAACTCCTAATTGAACCTTTTTGTGTCCTTAGGGACCAGTGGCATCCGAAAAATGGCCCCTTCAGAGGTATGGATGTCAAAGAATGTGTTAATAATTTGCTTCTCTATTATGTACCAATCCGAAGTCAAGTAAATGTTGATCCAGCAAACCCATCTGCATATTAGATTCAGCTCGATCTTCGGTGTTCACTAACACACTCACCAGACTATATTTAAATGTTTTCCTCTCTGCCCCTCTCATCAGTTGCCTGGCACAACTCAGAGTATGAAGAAGACCATCGGACACCGGGGGGTGGAGACCACCACCGGAGAGACCACCTATAAAAAGGTCAGAACAGGGTGGGGGTTGGTCACACCAGTGGGTTGTTTTGTTACATGTAGCAGAGTTGAAAAGTGTAAAAGGTGGTCATACTTTAAAATTAGTTTGGGACTTTCTCTCATTAGATGTACCAAGAATAGTGACGAGTGAGTCATGGGGGAACATTTAGTTTGTTCTGGGGTTTACTATCTTTTCCTCTCTGACCCCTCTAGACTACGTCATCTGCCCTGAAAGGTGCCATCCAGTTGGGCATCACTCACACCGTTGGCAGCTTAAGCCAGAAGGCGGAGAGAGACGTTCTCATGCAGGACTTTGTGGTGGTCGAAAGCATCTTCTTCCCCAGGTTGATAACAGAAGTTGTTGTTGAATAACCTTTGACATTAACAGTGAACAATTAGATGTTAATAATGAGTATTGATGTGGTAATATCATGTTTATTGACTTTAAAATCATCACTTAAATTACATTTTGTAAACTTTTGTAAAGTTATTGTTACGGACTCTGTCTCCAACTCCGTGCACCCATATTTTAAGTGAAGTTTATTTCCAAAAGAGAGCATCTTTCAGTTGAAATCCAGTATAATCTAAGATAAAGATACATTTAATTTAGCTTTACTTGTATTTGTTTGTATTAAAAAGCTTTACTAGTGTTTGTTTGTATTTAAAATGTTCTATTGATATTGCGATAATATTGTTATTATATCATTTGGCGGGGAAAATCATTCACTGAATATTTTGTGAATGTTTCATTGTGAATTTGTGTTTAATGGCTCTCTCCCTCTTTGATGTGTTTTCAGTGAAGGCAGTAACCTGACTCCTGCTCATCACTACAGTGACTTTCGCTTTAAGACCTACGCTCCAATTGCCTTTCGTTATTTCAGGGAACTCTTTGGCATTCGACCAGATGACTACCTGGTCAGTACTTGCACAAACACACACTTCCATGTTTACAGGAACTGCCCTCCTGATAGCTTTAGTCACTGTCCTTGTATTCAGTGGTTTTAACCTGTGCCCCTTGTTGAAGACAAATTATGAGACTCGGTTCCAATGAGAGATAATAAACCTTAACCCTTGTGTTATGTTCACATTTCGCACCCTTTGGTAATGTTCGGGTCAAATTGACCCGGGACATATTTCAAGGTTTAAAAAAAATACAGAACTAAATTCAACATGCACAATTCCTTATATATATTGTCTTTAACTCATTCCCCAACAATATAAATGAAATATATGATTACTTTTTGAAAATACTTTTTGCTAGATCAAATTTAACAATGGAAGTGTCCATCGTTTTTTGTGATAAAAATGTAATTTATGTTAAAAAAAATACACTGTAATAAAAACTAGGTTTACATTTTGCTCATGCTTTTTTAGGACAAATGTAAATGAAACATTTTTTCATTAATGTTTATTATTTTTAATCTGTCATATAATAATCAAAGCCCTGAAGGAAATAAAGCAATTTAGCAGCAATTGGAACACAAGAACCACAGCCAAAAGTATTTGGCTGTGAAATAGAGATGATGAAACCTCCATATTAATGACATAGAACAGATATAAACACAAAGCAAATAAAAACAATTAACAGTCACTATTCATAAAATACAGTATATCCGAAAAATATATTGATGAAGTGACGCTGCAGAACATCATGTGAGTCAATGGGAAGGTCCGTTTAGGAAACACATGATGTACAGAACTTCTTCGTGTGTATAGCACAGATGTACTTGTTGCAGTTGCTGCATGTAGTCTGTGTCTTGGAGTCCTTTGAGGGTCCACAGACCTCACAGCTGGCTGTGGGGGGTCTTTTAGAAGTTGACTGTGGGGGTCTTCTTGCGGCTGGCTGTGGGGGTCTTCCAGCAGCTGGCTATGAGTCAAGTTCATCTTCCAATTTGCTGTCAAATTCTGAGTTTACCTCCACATTATCCTCATCTTCAGAAATGTCTTCCTGTTCCACTTCACCGTGTTCTTCTAATGCATTCCACTCACTCTCATCCATTATTAGCTCCAAGGCTCTGAGCAGAATATCTTTTGGCCATTTTGTTGGTAGATAATTGTAGTTCTGCACTACACTGTTACTACACTGAGGTTATGTCTCTGTTTAGTCCCTCCTCCGGCGTGCAGGTGCGAGGGGGACAGTGCGAGAACATTTTAAATGTTTATACATTTCTGGAAGATCTAAAATGTTTATAATGTTCTAGGATAGTTTTGTGTACACACTACAAAGGGTAAAGATCAAGGGAAAACAGGATCAAACAGCTTCTCTGTGTGTGTGTGTGTGTGTGTGTGTGTGTGTGTGTGTGTGTGTGTGTGTGTGTGTGTGTGTGTGTGTGTGTGTGTGTGTGTGTGTGTGTGTGTGTGTGTGGTGTGTGTGTGTGTGTGTGTGTGTGTGTGTGTGTGTGTGTGTGTGTGTGTGTGTGTGTGTGTGTGTGTGTGTTGTGTGTGTGTGTGTGTGTGTGTGTGTGTGTGTGTGTGTGTGTGTGTGTGTGTGTGTGTGTGTGTGTGTGTGTGTGTGTGTGTGTGTGTGTGTGTGTGTGTGTGTGTGTGTGTGTGTGTGTGTGTGTGTGTGTGTGTGTGGTCACTTTTTTCATATTTCGTGCTTTCATGTTTTTGTCACAACTAAATTATTTTTCTACTAGCTGTTTTTTTATATAAAGAATTTAACACACAATCAATGTATGGCCCTGTAGTTGAACAATTACCTTGGAAACCTGTGAGAGGTCTATCGTACTGTAGTTTATATCAAGTCCCCTGTTGTTTTATAAAATACTTTTCTCTTGGTGACTCCCCATTTGGTTCAGAAAACCACTGTTTTAGTTAGATAAGATTTTTGGAAATGCCAACGTGTTTGCCTTGTTTCAATTGGACACTGATGCAGACTCCTCTTCCTCTGTAGTATTCTCTGTGTAATGATGGTCTGATCGAGCTGTCTAACCCCGGAGCCAGCGGATCCCTCTTCTATGTCTCCAGTGATGACGAGTTCATCATCAAGACTGTTCAACACAAAGAGGCAGAGTTCCTACAGAAACTCCTGCCTGGATACTTCATGGTGAGCCTGACGAATGCATACAACAGGAAGTGGGAGGCTGTTCCATATGAGAGATTTCAGTAACTCTGAGAGTATGAGGCTTAAATGAGAGCAAGTGCTAATGTAGTCTCTCTAAAATAAAGTGTGCCATATATCTCTTTTTCATTATCCTCTGTCCTTACAGAACATTAACCAAAACAAGCGCACCTTGCTACCCAAGTTCTACGGGCTGTATTGCGTTCAGGCAGGAGGAAAAAACATCCGTATTGTTGTGATGAACAATCTTCTTCCTCGGATCATCCCCATGCACCTTAAATACGACCTGAAGGGCTCCACCTATAAGAGGCGAGCGTCCCCTAAAGAGAGGGAGAAGGCCGTTCCCATTCACAAAGACCTGGACTTCATCCAGGACTTGCCGGACGGGCTGCTGCTGGAAGCCGACAATTTCAATGCCATGTGCAAGACTATACAGAGGGACTGCCTGGTGAGTCACAGACTGGTTTTTAATTGGTCGATTCATTTTTACTCAAGCTTTTCAGCCTACATGGGAGTACAGGACACATCTGTTACATTACATATAAGTTTATTAAAGTACCTAATCAAACTCATGATATATACGCCAGCTGAATACATTATCATCTTGCCCTTACATAAACCATACTGCATTTTCTTCAAAATACGTGCATTTAATATGACTTAAAAATCCAAGTTTTAATGATCTTTTCAAAAATATTGAGATTTAAAACCAAAGTTAAAGGCACCTATCATGCAAAATGCACTTGTTGATGTCTTTTATACATAAATATGTGTCCCCGGTGTGTCGGAAAGCGTCAGAAAATAAAACCCGCTCTCTTTTTTCTTCCGTACCCAAATCTCTAAAAACGGGGCTACAACGGAGCTGATCCAGATTCGCGTCCGATATGACGTAATATTGGAAATGTAGGCTGGCTTTACACCAACAGCCCAATCAGAAACGTTGCTATCAGAAACAATGCCCGACTGTTTTGGACGTAATATGGTTGGTGCATGTTTACATTAGCATCGCTAACACTCAGAGCTAACCTGTACTGCACAGAGCATGTGTGTGAAGAAGCAGGAAATAAAAAGGAACTCACCTTGTGGTATAACCAGCAAGAGAGAAAGCCTTTGAGCTCCAGACTGTTTCAGAAATAATCCATGATATGGCGTTTCATCACCGCAGTATCTGCCGGTAGCATCTCCCGCATGAGCTCAGCCCCCTCCTATTTTTTTTTTTTTTAATAACGTTTTTTTTTTTTTTTTAAAGCTTTATACCCCAAATCAGCACTTTTGAAACAGGAAGTGAAATAGAGGGATATGAGGCATGGCTAGAATGGGTGATCTGTTTGGTATTTTGAGCAAAACACTTCATAGACATTTTTTTAAATATATTTTTATATATCTGAGACCTATGCTATTGCCTAAAAATAGCATGATAGGTGACCATTAATTTGTGAATCAGATTTTTTATATAAGTATGTATATATATATTTTTTATTAATAATGCACCAACAAGTAGAATGATTACATTTCTGTGATTTTCTAGACACAATAAGCAGCATGTTCGATAGACTTTGAGGAGAAATATATATTTTTTATGTTCAACTCAATGTTATTTTCAGAGACATCTATACTTTCTCTCAAGGCAGTCTTTCAGTGTTGTTTGTCTCTGATGCGGCTTTCACACCAGCGCTTTTCCCGCTCTAGCTCCGAGCTAGAGCTTTTCTGATTCAGCTCCGGTTTCCCTTTTCTGCTCCCGCTCTGTTCACACCGCCCAGAGCCCGACTGGTGCTGCGGCTGCTGCGTCATGACGTCACCGTTTACATTGCTGATTTGCTCCCCAACGGAGCTCACAACAACAACAACAACAACAACAACAACGGGGACTGCATCGGGTCGATGATCGTGTTGCTTTTAATCATACGAAGTCAGATTTAAATAAAATAACGACTTCTCCAAGCTTATACTTTGCTCCAGAGTGCCGTGGTTCATTGTTTATTAATGTGTTTCAGCGGCATTTACCGACCGCTGCAGTGCTGCTCGTCCACTGGAGTTTATTCTCCCGTTAGCTCCGGGTTAGCTAATACTTTAGAGCGGGCTCTCTAAAGTATTCACTGTCTGACTGTCACACAAGCAGCTGATACATATCCCCAATTCCCCTTAAGTGAATGTGTGTCAGTCTGAATTGACGCTGTTTGGCATCACAACGCTGTTATTGAAGTGTCTCTGGTATAAAATGGGTGATGTTAGCATTAGGGTTGCCAACCGTCCCGTATTAGCCGGGACGTCCCGTATTTGAGCCAAAAGGGGCGTGTCCCGGACGGGACTTTGTTTGTCCCGGACTCCCGTGTAAAGGGAAAAATAAAAAATATGTTTCTGTTTGCGCACAATGCAGTGTGTCTGGCTGCGTGCCTGTGTGTTTGTGTGCTCTATGGGAAGGGCGCTAGGACCGCTCAGTTGACAGGGCAGGCACAATGCTCGCACGTGTGTGTGTGAGATTTTCTCCGCTGGGCCGCGGGCACCGCATCATTGTTTGTGTGGCATGTCAGTCTGTTCGAGAGGGGTCTGCCTGCAGACCTCCACTCTCAGGACAGTTCCGATGCAGACCTCCACTCTCAGGACACCTCCACTGGCAGCCTGCACCTGAACTGTCCTGAGAGTGGAGGTCTGCAGGCAGGCTCTCATGGCCTGTTCAGTCGTGTGGGAAAATGAGCGCTGCCGGTGGAGGAGGTGATAATGAAAGAGGAGAAGAGAGAGAGGATGTGGTTCTGGGCCCTGGCCCTTCTAAAAAGAAAATAATTGTGTCTTACAACAAACAGTGGGAAGAAAAACACAGTTGGGTAAAGCCCATTAGTGGAGATCTGTCTCGGGTCATCTGCACCTTGTGTCGAAGGGAGTTTTCAATAGGTCACGGTGGAGAAAACGACCTGAAACAGCATGCTGGCACAGAAATGCACAAGCGAGCAACACAAAATAAAGGTGCATCAAATATAACTAAATTCTTCGGCAGTTCAACTGCAGAACAAGACAAAGCTGCTGCATGTGAGGTAACATCACGGCACCACGGCATCTATTGCACGTCTGTCCGTCCTGGGAGAGGGATCCCTCCTCTGTTGCTCTCCCTGAGGTTTCTCCCATTTTTCCCTTTAAACTGTGGGTTTTCTTTGGAAGTTTTTCCTTGTACGATGAACAGAGGGTGTCATATTGTCATACTGATATTTTGTACAAACTGTAAAGTCCACTGAGACAAATGTAACATTTGTGATATTGGGCTATATAAATAAACATTGATTGATTGATTGACATCAGTGTATCACACTGTGTGATACACTGATGTTACCTCACATGCAGCAACTTTGACATTTTGAGGGTTTTGGGGGATTTGACCCCCAAAAACATTTTCGAACTCTAGGGCTGGCTCCCCCAAAATAATTAAATAACATAACCCTAACCCTAAACCTTAATAAAGTAATAAAAAAAAGTAACTCCGCCAGAAACCCAAAAATCTTCACGGGCGCGGGGGACACATGCATGTGTCCCGTTTCTCCATTTCTGGAAGTTGGCAACCCTAGTTAGCATAGCAACCGAAGCTAAACTGACTACTTGCTATTGCTATCCTATTGTGGTATAAGCCGTTTTCTACAGGCACATTTTACCGGCGTATTTTTATTATGATTCTACTTGTGATAGTCGGACACGACAACCTGTGCAGCCCATGTATTGATTCCATCCGATAGCTGCTATAATACAAAACAACACGCCTGCCTCTCTCCACAATGATCAATAACAGTGAACGGATGGTCAAAGTAAGGTACAAATAAACAGAATCACACGAAGCCTGGTTAGTGTTGCCTGACTTTAGTGTGTTTCTTTTTATAAATGTGTGGTTGCCTTTTAGTCACTTTGCTCAGCACTACTGCTTGTAGGCAGGCATGACGAGACTCTTCAGTCGACCCATGTTCAGGGGAGGTGGGTTTACTTTCCTGCACGCCTCGATGTAAGCAACGCCGCCTCTTAGCTCCGAAGCTCTTGCCTCTAGACCGACAATTTTTTGGAGCTGGAAGTGAACCGGATTCCGGAGCTAAGAGGCGGCGCCGCTGCGGTGTGAACAGGAAAAAACTGTACTCTGGAGCTGAAAAGTACAGTTTTTGTGAAACGCGTTGGTGTGAAAGGGGCATTAGTGTCGAGCCTCTCCACCGCTGACATCCCCAACAGTCTAGTGTTGCAGAAATGACTCAAGCTTGCATGACATTGCAATCTAATACTTTGTTTACTTTGAGGGACGATTCCTTTTTAAAATATGAAAGAGACAGGTGGCATTATTGTTCCAGGTAATACAGGATGTCATTTTGTGATGTATAATGTGGGCTTGTCCGACTTGAGAAAGCCAAACGAGTTATAAAACAAAGGCTCACATCATTTATTCATCAAAATAACTCTTCCCATTAGAGGTTAATCTGTTTCTGTGGTTGCTTTGTGGTCACGGCTAGTTAGCTTCTCATGCCCACTTAAATGTGTGTACCAGTGGTAGAAATCGCCTTCTCACTACACATTTATTGTTTACGATGGTTTCTCAATCGCCATGACCATATCTTTCAATTGGTTATTTTCATTGTGTGTACACTGCTGTGTTTATTGTTTATTGTTGCCGTTGGATTTGCTGTTGATGCTGTATGTTACTCACCTTAATTTTATTGTATAAATTGTTGTTCAAGTACATTTTTATTTTGTTCCAGCAATTTATACAGTACTTTATACATAATTTCTTACTGCTATTTTTCCTTTTTTCCCTCTAATCTTATCAATACAGTTTACAGAAAAATAAAATAAAAAAAGGTATAAAAACACAACACATTAATAAGTGATAGTAAAACTGGTTAAAAAAGACAAATATAAAAAGGATGAAGTTGCATTTTTTTCACAATAACGATGATTTGATTACGTCCAGCCCCAATTACTGCAGGGTTGTCCTGAGCATGTGGAGTGTTGCCTATGCGAGTGCACGTGTGAACATGAAAACAGCAGGACTGATTGATGCTCATATTAATTGTATTTCTCTCTGTCATGAAGCTCTTGCAGAGTTTCAAGATCATGGATTACAGTCTGTTGATGGGCATCCATAACATGGACCAGGCCAGTCGGGACCGGGAGCGTAGCGGGGGCAACTCTGGTGACAGTGGGGGGTCGGAGGGAGCAGTGACCCCAGATCAGCGCCGGCCACAAATTCAGAAAAGTCTTTACTGTACAGCCATGGAGTCCATTCAGGGGGAGGCCCGAGGGAAGGGTGCTTTGGATTCAGAAGACCAGTGAGTCTTATTGCTCAATGTGAACATATGTTTGATTATCATTTAATCTGTGACTGGGACATGACAATGATATGTTGTTGTTACTCTGTCTCTCCAGCATGGGCGGTATTCCATCTCGTAATAGTAAAGGAGAGAGGTTGCTGATCTACATCGGCATCATCGACATTCTGCAGTCCTACAGGTTTGTTCAGCAGCAAACAACTGTTTGCCTTGAAACCATACATTTGAATAATTTCATCCTGATCATAGAATACAGTCTGTTTCCCTCTTTGTGTTTTGTTTGGGTAGCTGGGCCAACCAACCTGGCAGTTTAGTGCTTATTAGTCCTGTGTGTGGCCTGGGAGACAATCCCTATGCTCTGGGTCCTGCACTGAAAGCTTTGAATTCATGAGAAAGCTTCATTCCTACATAACTCATTTAACTTCCAGTAAATTGTTTAATTATGTCTTATTATTTAGGTTTATTAAGAAGTTGGAGCATTCCTGGAAGGCCTTGGTCCATGATGGGGTAAGAGCTTACACACTGAATGTTCTGGAGAGCTAAACAAAGCCTCATCTGGAACTGGAGCGGACACAGTTTTTATAATAGAAAATTGAGAAAACAAGACCCTTTTATAGATGTTATCTTGGGCTCAAAGAAAAAATTGGTTTCACTAGTTTAAATTGATTACTAAATGGCAGATTCATAGATAGTTGTTAATAAATGGATAATTCTGAACAGAAAGTATTAAATGGCTCTGCTTTTGTTTTTGATACTTTAGGACACAGTTTCAGTTCACAGACCTGGCTTCTATGCAGATCGTTTCCAGCAATTCATGTGCAACACAGTGTTCAAGAAAATTCCACGTAAGCATGAATATGCATGTATTCAGAAATCCCATGGGTGAATTGTCTTGGTTCCCTTAGTGACCATATGCTCTTTTATAACCTCCATCTTTACCAGTAAAACTTTCACCTTCTAAGAAGAGTCGTGGTGGCGGTCAGGGCGGCCTCCGGAGGGCCCCCACCCTGGGCGCTCCCCCCCTGCTCTCCAACGCTACGGGACAGTCAGCAGTCGACTCCAGACTGGTCTACCACAGCCACTTCAAGAGCACCGACTCAGAGGCCGACAGCGGTGAGACTGACACCTCACGAGCAGTGTGGACATTAGACATTATTATTACATGGCTTAGTTGAATACTCGATTCTGATTGGTCAATTCAGAACACGTGACAAGTTGTTAATACCGAACAGACAGACCGCTGTCAAGGACTTATTGACCGTTGTTAAGGACGCTCACATCTTCAGAAAGAAGTCCGGTCGATTTAACTGTATACAGTTGGGCATGAAAAACAGCGCAGGTGTAACGGGGCAGAAACTCTCCTTTTTACGCAGCGGTCCAGACATAGACATCAAACGGCGACACATATTCAGTTGCCAGTTACTTTGGCATTAGGGCAGGGATATCTAGATACTTTCCGAGGTTTGACATAATGAATTGTGCTACTTTTAAAGCAAGCAGCGATGTTTTCAAATCTGTAATCAAAAAGCTCCTCAAAAACGCAAGCAGTTCCTGCCGTTGGCTTTTCAAACTGACAAGAGACGCTCTAACTGTTTTTCAAATGTAACCGTTTGAAAAGCAAACTGTCTGATTGTCTTTAGTTTTCCGCTGTCGTGTGATAGCAACATGGAGGATTTTAACATTAATTTGAATATATTTGGAGGAATGGTTAGTGGCTGATGAGTCCCCAGTGAAGAAAAGAAAAAGACAAGAGGGACAAGAAAACAGCGGAGAAGTAACGGGCAGAAACCCTCCTTTTTACGCAGCGGTCCAGACATAGACATCAAACGGCTACACATATTCAGTGTGCAGTTACTTTGTCATTAGGGCAGGGATATCTAGATACTTTCCAAGGTTTGACTTCATGAATTGTGCTACTTTTAAAGCAAGCAGCGATGTTTTCAAATCTGTAATCAAAAAGCTCCTCAAAAACGCTATCGAAGCAGTTCCTGCCGTTGCTACGTTAATTCAAAGTAACAGTAACAACGGACTATTTTTCTTAGCGGATGCATGTCAATTTAAATCAATACATACAACTATTTTTTAAATCAATAAAATCATTTTCTAAATCCATAAAAGCATTTATATTAATATTGGGAGTCATAACGTTACTTTGTTGAGAATGTGGCCATGTAATAAGCGGGATAATGTGCAGCGACGCGGTCATTATGGGGAAAAGAACACCGACAGGCTGATCAGGAGCCCGACGCGTATCCCTTACTTCTACAACCGCTCATACAAACAGCTCTTACACTTACAGTTTGAATCCTTTTTAAGGATTTGATCTTACATTTATTTTTGATTGGGTATTAAAAAAATCAATGCTGACTCAAGAGCATGCTAGGACACGATTGAGTGCTGACGTTATTGTCCAATTCTACAGTTTTATGTAAAAAGATTTGAATTACATTATATATTTGTATTATTAAAATAATTGATTTAATTTTGCTCTAACCCAAATACACAGTAAACTACACATTAGCATCCTTAACTTAATCCTTTCAAATGTATTTGAACTACTGTGTGTGCTCATGGCCCTTCAGTCTCTGCAGACATTTAAATATTCAATTGCAGAATTACTGTCGTAACTTTCTATTTATTTTGACTTCTTTATAAAGACAGAGTTAAGAGCAATTATGTGGTTTAAGTACACATCATGAATCTGATGTAGACCTTTCTTAAGACCTTTTACAAGAACACATTTTTGTTTAAACTTGAAGATGTTGGTGAATGAGGCAGATATATAATTGTCATGTCTGTGCTCTGATTGGAGAAACTGAGATTTGGTTTCTTAATGATACTTTGTTTACAGGCGTGCAGTTCGGCAGACCAGATCTTGTTCCGAGGACGCCTCCGCTTGGAGAAAACCCTGCGGACTACGAGGCCAACCTGTCCACCTCATCACTCGGCAGCACAGGACTTGCTTCCACCTCTCCACCACTACGGTAAAGCCTAGATCATTTATTACCTCTATTCTTAAACCTCACCTTCACACTCTGTTAATGTATTTTGTGTTTACCTTTATCCGTAGGTCTGTAGGGGTCGAAGTGCACAAATCAGCCAACACAGACTTGGACCATCACAGGTACAGAAGGCAATGATAAATGTTTTTTGTTTATTTATTGTCTTAGGTGTTTCATAATGAAATCTTATCTCTGTTCCAGTTTTGGGGACGAAGGGGCTATGGATAATTCAGGCAACCTGTCTGGGAACGAAGATGTGATTTCACTCTCAGACATCGTCCCTGAGACCAACATCTGCTTTGTAAGTCTAAAAAATGGCATTATACTTGGTAATAAAAGATTATTTATAATTGTATCGTTGACGTGGTTATAGTTGTACATTTGTTGATATTGACATTCATTTCATTTTCCCAGTAGATAACAGATATCTGAGGATGACGTGTTTCTGAGCGAGGTGAGGTGGGTGGAAGATTAAAGAGAGTGAAAGTCATCCATCCTCCACGGACCCTCCATTGCACCTCAGTTCTTATCAACCGTACCGAGTATACAGGGATCGCTGGATGAAGCAGTGAGGTGCAGTGGAAGTTGTGACAATGAAATAGCAATGGTGGAAAGTTCAAGAAGAAGCCGGTGAGCGGTAGGTTTTACCCTTCGCAGCCTTCAGCCTCCCAAAGCCCAATTGACTTTGATTTACACCCGGAAGAAAAAGGTGTATGACCCTGAAATTGTCAGAATGACATTGTTTAAACAAAGATTTTCTGTCATGCTCACAACATGAAGGAAGCTTCAATGACATCAAAAACTAAACGATTAGATGTACATTGTTAAAAGTCCATGCCCCCAGTCACCAGTGGATGGTGAAGGCAGTTACATTTCCCATGAAGAGACAGTCGTGGTTCTTTGAGATGGCACCAACAGCCTTTCAGCAGGAACATGCACATCAAGGGCAAAGCCTGCATTTGTAGGAGTGAATATTTCCTGCAGAGTCTGGATTCACATTTCCATGGTTCACACCTAAGTGTTCCATTACCGCACATCCATACCCCCTTTTATAAATCATCATGACCAGGTGCACTCTGAGCAATTAACACTCCTTTTTTGAATCAACATGTGCTGCTGTTGACTCTGTAAACATGAATGCATTTCTTTTAATCGATTGAGATGTACATTATTTGTTTGAATTTGGATTTTGGATCGATGGGTTTGAACCTAAAGGGTCATTTTGTTTCAAGTTTTGTTCTAAGTTATTCTGTTGGAGGCCACGGTGGTGCTGCAGAGGTCCAGCTAGATCTTGCCACTGCTGAATGTACATTACAATGTTTTTCTTACATAGAATGTGTCTTATTAACATGGCAGACCACATTTGTACAACCCTGAAATCTCCCTCTCTGAAGTGACCATAATGTGCTCATGCAGAGAGAATAGCTGCTGCAGAGAGAATACTGTTGCATTGCTCTTAAATGAAGTCATGGTATTGAGCTAGTAGAAGGGTCATAATTCCCAGCTACTGTCCTCCATCTGTATGTGCCTTTACATGTAGTCCCCTCCTGGACATGTAATATATAACTGACATTTCTTACAGGTTAGTGTTGGAAAAACCTGCCTTATCACTACAACTAAGGTCGTCAAACTGCCATTTGTATGTCTGGACCAACAAACAGGGCATCAAATAATTTCAGATTGTGTTGCAACCACTAGTACAATCCCTCTTTTATTATGTGATGAGTCTAATCGCATTAGAGTGGTTAATCTAATCCTTTTTAAGTTAGAATGTCTTTTATTTCTCATTCCTGCTGGTTACAGAAATGACCCATGCCCACATCCACTTTTGGACCAATATTAATAACCATGTGTTCAACTAATATTAGTTGTTTTAATATGTTGTCTTACTCAGATTTGATGTGGCTGTTGATCTAAAAACATATGCTTTGTTTTCACTTAATATATTGTGTTTATGTTGTTGAGCTTTGTACCACCAAGAGATATTTCTGATACAGAAATGTGAATAGCTACATAGTTACTGTAGCACCACTCAAGATCTTAGACATCTCACTGAAGGAGTTACTGTGTGTGGTTGGTAGGCACATTTGGTCTGTGAAGCAGAGAGGGAGAAGGGGAAATGTGATTTGTGAATATAGAAGAAAAGAAAACTACTTTTTGTTTATCAATGCACAGTTGAAGATTTAGGACTGAGTCTTTTGTTGTTTAAGCCAGTCGCGGCACCAAAGAAAGGAGAAGGGGGAGTTCCTGCAAATGTTCAGGATCCAGTACCGTTATCATGAAAATGAAATCAGACGCTCCTCATTACCTGCATGGACTGATATTTTGTACATGGTAATAACACTGGGTTAACCTGTGTTTTAAGGATCTGTTATTACTGGAACTGGATATTTGTTTTTTTTTGCTAAATAACTTAATGTCTGATAAGATGTATCTGACATACATGTATTGTTTATCAAAGATTTAGATTACTTTGTGGCCTGAGACATTTCAAGATGCAACCTCCACATTCCTGTTAAATTAAGTACAATTGTGGTAGCTC